AACTAGTCATAAGTAAGCAGTACTAGTGTCATATAGAAGCAGTACTAGTGTCAGTAGTAGCAGTACTAGTGTCAGTAGTAGCAGTACTAGTGTCAGTAGCAGCAGTACTAGTGTCAGTAGTAGCAGTACTAGTGTCAGTAGTAGCAGTACTAGTGCAGTAGTACGGCAGTACTGAGTGTCAGTATTACAGTACTATTGTCAGTAGCAGCAGTAACTAGTGTGTCAGTAGTAGCATACCTAGTGTCAGTAGAAGCAGTACTAGTGTCAGTAGCAGCAGTACAACGAGTCATTGTATTAAGCAGTACTATGTACAGTAGTCACATAACTAGTGCCCAGAAGCAGCAGTACTAGTGTCAGTAGTAGCAGTACTAGTGTCAGTAGTAGCAGTACTAGTGTCAGTAGTAGCAGTACTAGTGCCAGTAGCAGCAGTACTAGTGTCAGTAGTAGCAGTACTAGTGTCAGTTTAACAAAAGTAGCATTACTAGTGTTCAGTAGATAAGCAGTACTAGTGTTCCGAGTAGACAGCAGTACTAGTGACATAGAATGCAGTACTAAGTGTCAGAAGTAGGCAGAACTAGTGTCAGTTGCAGCAGTACAAGTGTCAGTAGTAGCAGTACTAGTGTCAGTAGTTACAGTACAATTGCCATAGCAGCATTACTATTGTCAGTAGTAGCATACTAGTGTCATAGTAGCAGTACTAGTGTCAGTTCGTAGCAGTACAAGTGCCAATATCACGTAACTATGTCAGTAGTAGCAGTATACTAGTGTCAGAATGTAGCTAGTATTCTAGTGTCCAGTAGTTATCAGTACTAGTGCCAGTAGGTAGCGAGTACTAGTGTCAGTAGTATCAGTAACTATTGTCAGTAGTACAGTACTATGCCAGTAGCACCCAGTAACTAGTGTCAGTACAGCAGTACTAGTGTCAGTATTAGCAGTACTAGAGGACATATAGCAGTACTATGCCAGTAGCTGAACAGTACTAGTGTCAGAGCAGCAGTACAAGTGTCCAGTAGTAGCCAGTACAAGTGACCGTATAGCAGTACTAGTGCCAGTAGCGCAGTCAAAGTGTCAGTAGCAGCAGTACTATGTCAGTAGTAGCGTACTAGTGGTGCGGATAGTACGCAGTACTAGTGCCCATAGTAAGCATACTATTGCCAGTACAGCAGTACAGTTCAGTAGCAGCAGTAACTAGTGGTCAGTCCTTAGCATTACTAGTGCCCGTCATAGAAGTACAAGTGCCCCAGAAGCAAGCAGATCACATCTTAGTGTCAGTAACAGCAGTAACAACTGTCAGTAAGTAGCAGTACAGTGACAGTATTAGCAGTACTAGTGTCAGTAGCATTGCAGTACTAGTGTCAGTAGTAGCATACTATGTGTAGTAGTCAGCAGAACAAGAGTCAAAAGTACAGCCAGTACTAGTGTCAGTAGTAGCGAGTACTAGAGATCATAGCACAGTATCTAGTGTCATAGAAGCAGTACTAGTGTCAGTAGTATCAGTACTAGTGTCAGTAGTAGCAGTACTCAACAGTGTACAGATTATGTATGTCATAACTAGTGACAGTAGCAGCAGCAGTACTAGTGGGCCTTAACACAGTAAACAACTAGCCAGACCGTAGTAGCAGTACTAGTGATCATTAGCAGCAGAACTAGTGTCAGTATTAGCAGTACTTCTAGTGTCAGTAAGTAGCATGTACTAGTGACAGTACCGCAGTACTAGAGTCATAGCAGCAGTACTAGTGTACAGTAAGCAGTACTAGTGTACAGTAGCAGCAGCATACTAGTGTCAGTAGGTAGCAGTACTTAGTGACAGTAGCAGCAGTAGTTTACTAGTGTCAGTAAGTATCAGCACAATTCAGTAGTAGCAGCAGTTCTTAGTGGAACATTAGTATGCAGCAGTTACTAGTGTACAGTAGCAGCAGAACTAATGTCAGACAGCAGTACTAGTTGTCAGTAGCATCAGTAACTAGTGCAGGAGCAGCAAACAAGTGTCAGATAGGCAGCAGTACTAGTGACAGAATGCAGCAGTACTAGTGACAGTATGTGTGATCAGCATACTAGTGTCAGTAGTAGGCAGCAGTACAAGTTGTCCAACAAGCAGCAGTCCTTAGTGTCAGTAGCAGCAGTACTAGTGTTAGTAGCACAGTACTATGTCAAGTAGTCCAGCAGTACTGAGTCGACAGTAGCAACAGTACTAGTGATCAGTAGCCAGCAGTACTAGTGTCAGCACAGCAGGTATACTATGTCAGTAGTCAGCATGTACAAGTGTCATACAGCAGCAGTACTATTGACAGTAAACCTAGCAGTACTAGTGTCAGTAGTCAGCAGTACTAGTGTACAGTAGCAGCAGTACAATGTCAGTAGCAGCAGTACTAGTGACAGTAGCAGCAGTACTAGTGACAGTAGCAGCAGTACTAGTGACAGTAGCAGCAGTACTAGTGTCAGTAGCAGCAGTACTAGTGACAGTAGCAGCAGTACTAGTGACAGTAGCAGCAGTACTAGTGTCAGTAGCAGCAGTACTAGTAGACAGTAGGCAGCAGTACTAGTGAACAGTATTCAGCAGAACAAAGAGTCAGTAGCAGCATACTTGACAGTAGAGCAGTACAAGTGGACAGTAGCAGCATACTAGTTGTCAGTAGCAGCAGTACTAGTGACAGATATCGCCCGCAGTACTATGACAGTTGCATGCATACTAGTGTCAGTACGCAGCAGTACTAGTGACAGCTAGCACAGTACTATGACAGTAGCAGCAGTACAAGTGGAGAGTCGAGTAGCAGAAGTACAAGTGACAGTAGCAGCAGTATCTAGTAATCAAACAGCATACTGAGTGACAGTAGCACAGTACTAGTGAACAGTAGCAGCAGTACTAGTGACAGAGCAGCAGTACTAGTGTCAGTAGCAGGCAGTACCTAGAGACCGCAGGCAAGCAGTACACAAGTGACAGGTAAGCACCGTCAGTACTAGTATCAGTAGCAGCACAATGACTAATGACAGTAGCAGCAAGCAGTACTATGACAGTAGGGCAGCAGCAATACTAATGACAGTAGCAGCAGCAGTACTAGTGTCAGTAGCAGCAGTACTAGTGACCGCAGCAGCAGTACTAGTGACAGTAGCAGCAGCAGTACTAGTGACAGTAGCAGCAGCAATACTAATGACAGTAGCAGCAGCAGTACTAGTGACAGTAGCAGCAGCAGTATTCTTACCCTGATGTTGAACGTACCCCTCCCCAGGCAGTGAGGAACGTACCCTCCGCCAGGCAGTGTAGGAACGTACCCTCCCCCCCCCTCCCCCAGGCATGTAGGAGCGTACCTTCCCCAGGCAGTGTAGGAACGTACCTTCCCCAGGCAGTGTAGGAACGTACCTTCCCCAGGCAGTGTAGGAACGTACCTTCCCCAGGCAGTGTAGGAACGTACCTTCCCCAGGCAGTGTAGGAACGTACCTTCCCCAGGCAGTGTAGGAACGTACCGTCCCCAGGCAGTGTAAGGACGTAACCTTCCACAGTGCAGTTAGGAACGTACCTTCCGCCAGGCAGTGTAGAACGCACCTTCCCGCCAGGGCATGTATGAACTTACCTTCCCCAGACAGTGTAGGAACGTACCTTCCCCAGGCAGTGTAGGAACGTACCTTCCCCAGGCAGTGTAGGAACGTACCTTCCCCAGGCAGTGTAGGAAAACGTACTTTCCCTAAACAGGCAGAGTAGGAACGTAAGCTTCCCCCCGGCAGTGGAAGGAACGTACCTTCCCCAGCAGTGTAGAACGTAAACTTCCCCAGGCAGTTTACTGTAGGAACTACCCACTCCCAGGCAGTGTAGAACGTACCCTTCCCCAGGCAGTGTTAGGAACGTAACCTTCCCCAGGAGTGCGTAGGAACGTAACCTCCCCAGGCAGTGTAGGAACTTACACCTTCCCCCTGTTCAATGTAGGAACGTATCTTCCCCAGGTCAGTGTAGGAACGATACCTTCCGCTAGGCAGTGGTAGTAACGTACCTTCCCTAGGCAAGTGTAGAACGTACCTTCCCCAGGCAGTGTAGGAACGTAACCTTCCCCCGGCAGTGAAGGAACGTACCATCCCCAGGCAGTGATAGAACGATAACCTTGCCCAGGCAGTGTAGAACGTACCTTCCCCATGCCGGAAGGAACGTACCTTCCTAGGCATAGGAGATGAGAACGTAATCACAATGGGTGAACGCACGCGAACCGACACCTCCTTCAACCGCCCGCTGTAGCGATCCTCTTATATTATACATCATCTGGTGAAGAATACTGGTGATAGTAAAAGTAATAATAGTTATTTAATAATATAATAATAATAATAATAATAAATAATAATAAGTAATACGAATAATAATAGTGTTGTTATCTGGAAAGATAGATAGTTTACCATGGAAGAGGAAGACAGGTACCAGGAAAGAATAGACAGGTCCCTGGTAAAGCAAAAAGATAGTACCTGGAAAGAAGACTGGTAACTGGAAAGACAGACAGGTACCTTAAAATCTAAGACGGGTATCTGAAAGATCAGACAGAGTACCACCTAAGAGTACGAAAGACTGGTAACTGGAAAGACAGAACACGTACCTAGAAAGTAAGATAGTACCTGGAAAGCAAGACTGGAATCTGGAAAGGCAGAACAAGTACCTAGAAAGTATGACAGGTACATCTATAGTGAGACAAGTAACATCTATGAGGTAAGATAGGAGTACTATAACTGAGGCGACACTGTAAATAGGTTCAGTGTAGTAAGGGTCAAATCCGGATAAAGAAAATACTACCTGAATATGGGGATAGGTACCTTGCATAGCATAGACAAGGTAAGTAAGATCATGACAGGTACCTGCAATAGCATGACAGGGAATAGAGAGCATGACCAAGGTACCCCGCTAGCATGACAGTACGCAGAGAGCATGACATGGTCCATGCATAGCATGCAGGAAGTAAGATATCAAACAGGTAACCTGGATAGTCAGAGTACTGGTAGTGCAGAATAGACTTGAAGCTGGAACTTACAAGTGGGTTGGCTCTGGATTACCCCGGGCAACATTGTAACAATATACACACGGAAGTCCTCACCAGCCCGATCTAGCTCACCTGGGTAAGAGAACAAAGAAGTAACATGAAATTTTTCACGAGAGTACATGAAACGAACAGGAAATGATCCTCTGTGATTCAATAATAATAAATTGTCGGTATTTTTTAACACAATACGTGAATATTCCCAGCGATATAATTACCATGTCCAGAAGATAATCTAAGTAATATTAAACTCTCAACGAGCAAAATGATTATTAAATAATTTAACAAACTCAAAAAAACGAGTTCCTGGGCCTCGACGAACTATATTCAATTTTTTTTTAATATCTAAATAGAGAACTGTAGCCGCTATAGGGAACTATATAATTCATCAATTCCCAAACTATATGTTTGTACCAGTGAGTGGAAGATGATTAATTCCTATATTTAATCAGGTGAATAATTGCATCAGATTACCGTCCAACTAAACTTACATCTATGCAGCAAACTGTTTAGAAGATCATTATAACCGAATATTAGAAGTTACCCTTAGGAATATAACTTGTTTCGATAATTTGACTTGAATTAGGTCACTGGAGTGTGGGGAAACGTGACAATCAATGACATATACTGCTGTTTATATTTCTATAAAGTTTTGTAAAGTCTGATAGATGATCTCCAGTGGTCCAATGTACCACACACATGAGTGATCTCCATGGTACAAAATGTTACCCACACAACTAGAGTGATCTCCAGTGGTAACAATGTTACCACACATCTGGGTGATCTTCCAGTTGGTACAATGTTTACCACCCACTGGGTGATCTCGCAGTGGTACAAATGTACCACACACTGAGTGGATCTCCAGTAGGTACATATATTACCACACACTGAGTGATCTCCAGATGGTACAGATGTTACCACACCAGACGTTATACTCCAGTGGAACAATGTTACCAAACACTGGGGATCTCCAGTGAGGTACAATATTCTAATGATATTACCAACACTGAGCTGATCTCCAGTGGTAGCAATGGTACCACACACTGATGATCTCCAGTGTACAATGTTTTTATCCGACACACTGAGGGTGAATCTCCAGTGGTACAATGTTACCAACCACTGGTGATCTCCATGGTACAAAATAATGTTACCACACACTGGGTGATCTCCAGTGAACAATGTATACCACATCCTGGTGGTGATCTCCAGTGTACAATGATACCAACCAACAATACACTGGGTGACTTCCAGTGGTACACAATGTTACAACACACACTGTGATCTCCAGTGTGTACAATGTTTACCACACACTGATGATCTCCAGTGGTACAATGGTTACCCACACTGATGATCTCCAGTGTACAATGTTTACCACACACTGGGTGATCTCCATGGAACAACGTATTACATTACCACACACTGAGTGATCTTCCAGTAGGTACAATGTTTACACACACACTGATGATCTCCAGTGTAGAACAACGTGTACTTACCACACACAGAATGATCTCCAGAGGAACAACGTTACCTACACAACACGTGATGATCTCCATTGGTTACAACGTTACTTACCACACACTGAGTGATCTCCAGTGTAACAGACATTACCGACGCACTGAGTGATCTCCAGTGGTACAACGTTACCCACACACTGATGTGATCTCCAGTGGAACAACGTAATACTTACTCACACGCAGAGTGATCTCCAGTGGTACGAGCGTTACTTACCACACGCTGAGTGATCTCCCAGTGTGTACAAGCGATACTTACCACACACAGAAGTATTCACAGTGGTAACCAGACCGTATACGTACCACACGCTGAGTGATCTCCTGGTACAAACGTTACCACGCACTGATGATCTCCAGTGGTACAACGTTACTTATACCAACACATCTGAGTGATCTCCATGGTACAACGTTACCACCGCACTGAGTGATCTCCAGTGGTACAACGTAACTTTACCACACACACGCTGAGTGATCTACAGATGGGGGACAGCGTTACTACTACACGCTGAGTGATCTCCAGTGTGTACAACGTATACCACGCACTGAGTGATCCCTCCAGTGGTACAACGTTAGCTTACCACACGCTGAGGTGGATCTCCAGTGGGAAACAACGTTACTCGTACGCACACGCTGAATGATCTCCAGTGGGTACAAACGTTACCACGCACATGAGTGATTTCCAGGTGGTACAAGACGTTTTACTTACGCACAACGCCTGAGTGATCTCCAGTGGTACAACGTAACTTTACCACACGCGAGTGATCTCCAGTGGTACACCGTTACTTGCACAGGCTGCTGGTCTCCTCCCAGGCCTTCGAACGATCCCACGAAGAACTGTTAAGTTGTTACACTTTATATCTCATCTGTGTAGGCTGTGTCAATTTGTGCATCGGTCTAGGTCTAGACCTAGCCTAGACCTAGACCACACAGATACGACCTAGGCCTAGGATAAAGTTTAATGTGTCAGAGGTGCAGCTTGTAGTGTGGGTCGCATGTGTGTGTTCGGTCTTCTCTCTGTTGGGTACAAATTGAACATCTGTGTCGCACTAACCCTTAAATAAAACACACACACGAAAATACTACAGTTCAAAGTAGCGAATAAAACAAAAACACGGAAAACAAGAGAGAGAGAGAGAGAGAGAGAGGAGAGAGGAGAAGAGAAGAGAGAAAAAAGAGAGGAGAGAAGAGAGAGAGAGAATGTGGGGTTGCTAATCATGCCACAAGCTTCTGGATGAACATATTCCAAGTATCAAACAGACTCGCCGGTGGTTGAAGTTGATGTGTACCAACAGGTGACAAATTTTCCAGTGACTTGATACAGCATTGAAGGGATCAAAATAGGTCCAACTAAGATTGATTCTCACAAAAGTAATGACACGAGAAAGGACATACAACAGAAAAGGATGACAAAAAGACAAGGGTGTATCCTCGACATTGGAGACAACACAAGAAAGATATTAAAGTCCACACACTCACCCTGTTAATATATGTCCCCCTAACCATTATACATTCCATTACTCACACTAGTCTATCCCCATACCCACAATACCTCACCCATACTTTCCAGTTCAAGGATCCTCCTTCACACTCTGCCCTCCTCGCTCCAACCCATTCCCCTTAAGGCTCTATGTTACCTGTACCCCAACCTCCTCAATCCACCACATCATGCATCCAAGATTCTGAACCCCTTCAGTACAAAATAACCCACCACCACCAACCTAATCTCCAACCTCTCCAGGAATCAAGAACCCAAAAACTGGTAAACACCAGTAATGCTCCACTCACAGAAGCTCTGGATGGAATAACAAATATGAATGAAGAATATGGAAAAAACGAATAATGGAGGCATCCCAAGACATACAACAGAGAGACAAGGCTTATGGAGATAATAACCGATGTGATCTTACCATAGCTGAACATTCAGATTCTATACGAAACGACAGAGAGAACAAAGGTTGAAGTTTTGTAAGCACATGCTCCAACAGAGAACCAGAGGAATGGACCGAGGGAAAGCAGAACGCCTAAAAAGACGGAACCCTAGCAGACGGGTACCCAAGGTCGCGTGATAACAGTGAGGCACAACCCTCCATCTGAAAAGCAAGGCGTGGCGCCAACAGGGGGCAAAAGATAGGATACCATATAGATAAGGTGGCCTGATGGGGACTCTCGTTAACTCGGGCAAATCTGCTGTCATAAAGGACTTTAACAACAAGGAGACTGACTGGAGAACCTGGAGCCACACAAGAACCAGAAATATGGAGACTAATGATGTCCAGGAGGCTGTACTCGAAAACTTAATGCAGCCAACATGTTAGTACGACAACCAGAGAGAGAGAGAGAATAGGATGAACCAACAAGGCTGGACCATGAAGCACACAACTTAGTAGTAAAACAAAATCCATAAACATTTACAAACAGTGAGGCTCCATGACACCCCCGTCCCCCTTCTTGCCGTCTGACTACCAGCAGGCACAAAACACTATAACAGTACTTTCCCCAAAACTTAAACGCGCCTCTGGACCACTAGGGTCTTACAACGGGTAAACAGAGAACCCATTCAACATCAAATAAAATCACCTCAGGTAAAACTTACAAAAAAAAGAACAACCCCCCCCCCTACTTAAACCAAGCCAAACCATGACGACTTCTCAGCCGCCTCTTCTCGTACAGGCCCCACAACACCTCACCCGCCCTGTCTCCTGCCACTCTGCCTGAACCATAGATAATAAGCGTCCGGCAGAACAGATTCAGGGAAAATGACATTACATATGGAGCGTTTTATATAGAGCATTTTTACTGCGAGCACACTGGCGTATGGGTCCTGAGAGTGGGGAAAGATGCTTGTGTCCGCTAGCAACATCATCACACAAATCTATTATCAAACAAAGGTAACTACCAGAGGCGTGGAAGACAGTAAATGTAATTTCCAATTTTTAAGTAAGAAACGACACGCAGCACTGAAAGTTATTGACGACATGTAAAGTAATGAGAGGATTATCAAGCAGAAAGAAGAGGAATCAACCTGAAAGACACTGAGGAATGTAGGTGATAGGGGAGAGCGCATGCAAACGACATATAAAATGCTGAGAGGAACTGCACTGGTGGATTAGGGACAGTTTCTGAGAAGCTGACAACTGCAACAAGGGGTCACAACTGGAAGTAAAAACTTAATGATTCATAGGGATGTTAGGAAAAGAATTTCTATTAGCCTTAAAAGTTGTCAATAATGGAACAACCTGAGAGTGATTAGTGAGGAGAACAAAGAACCCATACATCGCTTTAAGAGAAAGAATCGACATGCGATACAAAGCTGAGCTAAGCCGGAAGAGGTGAACCACTAGTAGCGACCATGAAGACAAGGCGCGAGGCCAAGGGAAGCTCATGACTTACCCCAGCAGAACAACAATCAAGTGAGGGGCAATTAGCGAGTACAACATCACATTACACACACACATACACACACACACACACAACACACACACACACAACACACACACAACACACACACTCACACACACACACACACACACACACACACACACACACACACAACAACATCTTCAACACATCCTTGAACTGAAGCAACTACCCTGAAGGTATGGAAGACGGCAAATCTGTAGTCCCTAATTTAAGAAAGGAAGAAACGAGCACTAAACTACAGACCATGGTAACCTTGAGCTGTGTAATAGTATCAAAGTCATGGTGAGAGATTATCAAGAGAATTGTAGAGCACCTAGAATGGAACAAAAGTCAAAACGACAAAACCTTGCACGGATTCATGGAAAGACAAATCCAGTGACACTAACCTTTTGGAGTTTTTATGATAAAGTAACAGAAGTAATGACACGAGAGAAGGGATGAATGATTTGCATTATTTCCTGGATTGCAAGGAAGGTCCCCCTTCGACACAGTACCTCACAAGAGAATAGTGCCGAAACATAGAGGATCAGGCGCATACAACAGGAAGGGGGCCACTGAAAAGGATCAGAGAAAACCTGACAGGATCACAAGCGAGCCATGTAACGTGATGAGGTATCACAATGCAGGACAACCTGAGGAGAAGCGGGGTCCCACAGGGGCTCAGTCCTGAGACCAGAGCTATATTTAGTATATGTTAATGAACATGAAGGAAGGGATAGACACAGAAGTGGGGTCCCTGTTTGCAGATGATGTGAAGTTAATGAGGAGGAGAATAAAATAAGATGAGGACCTAGGCCGGCCTTCAAGAGACACTGGACAGATCTGACACCTGGTCCAGCAACTGGCTTCTTGAATTTAACCCCGCCAAATGCAAAGTCATGAAGATCGGAGAAAGGCAAAGAAGACCACAGACGGAGTATAAGCTGGGTGGCCAAAGACTACAGACCTCGCTCAAGGAGAAAGATCTTGGGGTGAGTATAACACCGAGCATGTCTCCGGAAGCACACATCAACCAGATAACTGCTGCAGCATATGGGCGCCTGGCAAACCTGAGAAGAAGGTTCCGATACCTTAGTAAGGAAACAAGGGGTCACAATTGGAATTTGAAGACCCAGATGAGTAAAAGGGATGTTAGGAAGTATTTCTTCAGTCATAGAGTAGTCAGGAAGTGAAATAGCCTAACAAGTGAGGCAGTGGAGGCAGGAACCATACTTAGCTTTAAGATGAGGTATGATGAAGCTCATAGAGCAGGGAGAGAGAGAGGAGCTAGTAGCACTCAGTGAAGAGGCGGGGCCAGGAGCCGAGTCTCGACCCCAGCAACCACAATCAGGTGAGTACACTCACCTGATTTTCAATATAAATAAATTTTTGTGCTCTTCTGATGAGACGAACTACAGCTCTATGGATGCTTGCATCAATCACACGCCCACCTGTGGTGTCAAGCACGCCCACACGCCCACTGCTGAACATGGCAGAATTGCCATCGATTGACCGCACCACCTGTGGAACGAATTGGTCATCAGTAGCCAGCAGGGAGAGATATTAAGAGAGTGAGTACCTGTACTCTGACTCGTGATCATTCAGGTACAAGCACCTGAATGGTTACCAGTCAGAGCAAGCACCTGAATGGTCACCTGTCAGAGCAAGCACCTGAATGGTCACCAGTTAGAGCAAGCATCTGAATGGTCACCAGTTAGAGCAAGCATCTCAATGGTAACCAGTCAGAGCAAGCACCTGAATGGTCACCAGTCAGAGCAAGCATCTGACTGGTCACCAGTCAGAGAAAGCACCTGAATGGTCACCAGTCAGAGGAAGCACCTGAATGGTCACCAGTCAGAGTAAGCATCTGAATGGTCACCAGTCAGAGGAAGCACCTGAATGGTCACCAGTCAGAGTAAGCATATGAATGGTCGCCAGTCAGATCAAGCACCTGAATGGTCACCAGTCAGAGTAAGCATCTGAATGGTCACCAGTCAGAGCAAGCATCTGACTGGTCACCAGTCAGAGCAAGCATCTGACTGGTCACCAGTCAGAGCAAGCACCTGAATGGTCACCAGTTAGAGTAAGCATCTGAATGGTCACCAGTCAGAGGAAGCACCTGAATGGTCACCAGTCAGAGCAAGCATCTGCCTGGTTAGCAGTCAGAGCAAGCATCTGACTGGTCACCAGTCAGAGCAAGCATCTGACTGGTTACCAGTCAGAGCAAGCACCTGACTGGTCACCAGTCAGAGTAAGCATCTGAATGGTCACCAGTCAGATCAAGCACCTGAATGGTCACCAGTCAGAGTAAGCACCTGAATGGTCACCAGTCAGAGCAAGCATCTGCATGGTTATCAGTCAGAGCAAGCATCTGACTGGTCACCAGTCAGAGCAAGCATCTGATGGTTACCAGTCAGAGCAAGCACCTGACTGGTCACCAGTCAGAGCAAGCATCTGACTGGTTACCAGTCAGAGCAAGCACCTGACTGGTCACCAGTCAGAGCAAGCATCTGACTGGTTACCAGTCAAAGCAAGCATCTGACTGGTTACCAGTCAGAGCAAGCATCTGACTGGCCACCAGTCAGAGCAAGCATCTGACTGGTTACCAGTCAGAGCAAGCATCTGACTGGTCACCAGTCAGAGAAAGCACCTGAATGGTCACCAGTCAGAGGAAGCACCTGAATGGTCACCAGTCAGAGTAAGCATCTGACTGGTTTCTAGTCAGAGCAAGCATCTGACTGGTTACCAGTCAGAGCAAGCATCTGACTGGTCACCAGTCAGAGTAAGCATCTGAATGGTCACCAGTCAGAGCAAGCATCTGACTGGTCACCAGTCAGAGCAAGCATCTGACTGGTTACCAGTCAGAGCAAGCATCTGACTGGTCACCAGTCAGAGAAAGCACCTGAATGGTCACCAGTCAGAGGAAGCACCTGAATGGTCACCAGTCAGAGTAAGCATCTGAATGGTCACTAGTCAGAGGAAGCACCTGAATAGTCACCAGTCAGGGTAAGCATCTGAATGGTCACCAGTCAGATCAAGCACCTGACTGGTCACCAGTCAGAGCAAGCATCTGACTGGTTACCAGTCAGAGCAAGCATCTGACTGGTCACCAGTCAGAGAAAGCACCTGAATGGTCACCAGTCAGAGGAAGCACCTGAATGGTCACCAGTCAGAGTAAGCATCTGACTGGTTTCTAGTCAGAGCAAGCATCTGACTGGTTACCAGTCAGAGCAAGCATCTGACTGGTCACCAGTCAGAGTAAGCATCTGAATGATCACCAGTCAGAGCAAGCATCTGACTGGTCACCAGTCAGAGCAAGCATCTGACTGGTTACCAGTCAGAGCAAGCATCTGACTGGTCACCAGTCAGAGAAAGCACCTGAATGGTCACCAGTCAGAGGAAGCACCTGAATGGTCACCAGTCAGAGTAAGCATCTGAATGGTCACCAGTCAGAGGAAGCACCTGAATAGTCACCAGTCAGAGTAAGCATCTGAATGGTCACCAGTCAGATCAAGCACCTGAATGGTCACCAGTCAGAGTAAGCATCTGAATGGTCACCAGTCAGAGCAAGCATCTGACTGGTCACCAGTCAGAGCAAGCATCTGACTGGTTACCAGTCAGAGCAAGCAGCTGACTGGTCACCAGTCAGAGCAAGCACCTGAATGGTCACCAGTCAGAGTAAGCATCTGAATGGTCACCAGTCAGAGCAAGCACCTGAATGGTCACCAGTCAGAGTAAGCATCTGAATGGTCACCAGTCAGAGGAAGCACCTGAATGGTCACCAGTCAGAGGAAGCATCTGACTGGTCACCAGTCAGAGCAAGCATCTGACTGTGTACTAGTCAGAGCAGCATCTGACTGGTACCAGTCAGAGCAAGCATCTGACTGGTCACCAGTCAGAGCAAGCATCTGACTGGTTACCAGTCAGAGCAAGCATCTGACTGGTTACCAGTCAGAGCAAGCATCTGACTGGTCACCAGTCAGAGCAAGCATCTGACTGGTTACCAGTCAGAGCAAGCATCTGACTGGTCACCAGTCAGAGAAAGCACCTGAATGGTCACCAGCCAGAGGAAGCACCTGAATGGTCACCAGTCAGAGTAAGCATCTGAATGGTCACCAGTCAGAGGAAGTACCTGAATGGTCACCAGTCAGAGTAAGCATCTGAATGGTCACCAGTCAGATCAAGCACCTGAATGGTCCCCAGTCAGAGTAAGCATCTAAATGGTCACCATCAAGTAAGATCTGAATGGTCACCACAGAGCAGCACCACTGGTCCCAGTCAGAGAAAACATCTGACGGTTCCCGTCAGAGCAAGCTCTGCTGGTCACATCAGAAGCAAGCACCCGAAGGTACCACAGAGTAAGCATCAATGGCCCATCAGAGGAAGCCCCTAATGGTCACCATCAGAGAAACACTGAAGGGCCCCATCAGTAAGCACCTGAATGGTTCCCGTCAGAGCAAGCATCTGACGGTTTACCAGTAAAGGCAAGCATCTGACGGGCTACCAGTAGAGAAAGCAGTGACGGTTACCATTAAGGAAGCACCGGGAGGGCCCCAGTCGAGAAAACACTGACGGGTTACTAGTCAGAGCAAACATCTGATGGTTACCATCAGAGCAAGCATCGCTGGTCCCCAGTCAGAGCAACACCTAAATTTTAAAAAAAAAGGATTTTTTGGTGTTTGGTACCGGGAGAAAGATATTCTCGGAGGTTCTTTTTTTTATTGAAAATGTTGGGTGGGTACACGCTTGTTTGTTGTCCCCCATGGCCCCGGGGGGGCCCCAGAAGAGACTAGGAGTGGGCCTTGTGTCTTCCTCTAGCCACTGGGTGGTGAGAGGGGCAAGGGCCCAGGCTGGCGTCCCCCCGAGAGGCCTGGCTACAGAGGGCAGCATTTTAGTGCCGGAAAAATGAACTAAGCTGACAGACAGCATAGGCTTTTTGGCAGAAGTCAGGCGTCACCGGTTCGTCCCGACGTACGATACTGGTGGAAAAAGGAACTCGGGCTCTCCTCGAGGGAAAAGGGCACAGAACCAAAAAAAAAACATATAATCAAAGGACATGGAAAAAAAAAAATTCCCACAGGGGGAAGAAAAAACATTTTGGGGGTGCTAAACATCGTGGAAAACGGGGGGGGCCCGCCCCCCCCCCCCCCCCCCCCCGGGGGGGGGGGGGCGGGGTAAAAACAATTAGGGTCCCCCTCGGCGGAAAAGCAACACGGGGGCACCGCGGTTTTACTCCCTTGGGGAAAAAAAATCGGGCCGCTGGTTTCCACAAAACTGGCCATGGGGCTTCGGAAACCCGAAACCCCCGGAAATGCGCCCGGGCCTCACTTCCGGCAGCGTGGGGGGCCCCCAGTTTGGGGGGAGAGGAGTGGGCAGAGACAAATGGGTGAAACATCTGGGGGTCGTAACATCATACACCCAAATGCTTGAGGAGCTAGCATCAAAAGTGACATTTTTTGTGCAGGCTGCTCACTGAAGCTTGTGACACGAGGGGGACACAGCTGACTTTTCGGTATCATTCCCCCCGGCAGTTGGGGGTTATAGCAGAGGTTGTCTAACATCCCAACTTGTTTCCTACATATAACTAACTCTGACTCTGGGAGGGTGAAGGAAGCAAATCTCGATGGGAACGTGCAGGTACGATTCGCAAAATCACGACGATGACATAAAACTTTTCTGTACAAAAGGGCCGGTCCTCAGGTTTTCTTGACATCAGCTGTCTATGCATGGGGCACACAGGGGACTTTGCACAGTGGTGCTACTCGGTCTGGCTCAACCCACTGGACACACGGAAAAATTTAAACACCCCTCGGGACTGGGACAACAAGGCTTAAACAAAACAAATGATGTTTTTTTGGATAAAAACTGACACTAAGACATAAAAAATGTGGGAACACTGACTGGAGGAATTAACACACGGCAATATCTTCTCTTTGTCTTCTCGAAAAATTTTAATAATTTCTGAACACTCGATGTGACATCAGGATGCAGGGGGGATACGTCACAGCAGTGACGCAGCAGACATCTCAAGGGGAATTCAGGCAGACATCGGAGGTGACGTCAGCAACAACGGGGACGGGCATGAAATCGCCAGGCATCGGGGGGACTTCGATGTGATGCGGGCACAGACCACAGCATTAGGCCGGGACAATTTTGGAACCACGGGCTGTAATCCACGTGACATCGGGCCCACAAACCCACAGGGGGGGCGTAAAAAAAAATGGCTCTGATCCCCGTGCTTCGAGGGCCTGGGGACTCGGAAAAAACATTCTGGGAATGAATTTTCCACGGAAAAAAAGCAGAAAACACAGCAGAGGGGGGTGGGCAGTGGGAGTGGTGTATGGTAGTGTGGTGGCGAAGGGGGTGGGTGAGTTATGCGGGGGAGCATCTGGGCCATTCCTCCTCCTCCCACCCCAAAACCCGAGGGAAAAACACGGACGGGAAACACCACGAAACTCACCTCTGGTTGCTGAAACGCTGGCGATGAACAACAACACAACATGCAAGGACGCTGAAACATG